TAATCCCTTGGATTTCTGATTGAAACCTTTTCATGGACTTGAATTCTTTGCTAAAGTGGTCATTCATGTTTTGTGTCATTTTGTTTAGCTCAGCTAGTTCTTAATCAGTGTCTTCTGAAAGCTCCTGATCATTTTGGTTACTACTTTCCTTACCTGTTTAGTTATATTTTCTGTGATCCCACTGAGTCCCTCTTTGATCTGCTTTCTAACCTCTGCCGTTATCCTTTCAAGTAACTTAAATGTGTAGTTTATGTTATTCTCCCTCTGATGCCCCTCTGATTGGCTTTGGAGGAGTTAGGAGTGTGGGGAGGCATTTTGTTGCCTTGTCCTATCAGGCCCCCTGTTTGTTTGTTTGTATTGTTTTGGCTTAGGTTGGTGGACACTTACAGAGTAAAAACTTTATTCCAAGTATAGCAATCTCTTTGGTTAGGCACTTTTTCGGTGATGGACTTTGAGCATGGCTATTATCCAAGGTCCGACCACGTCATTTAATTGAGGAGGAGAGGATACAGTGTAATTAGCTTAACACTGCGTTCTCTGGAAATGTGCTCTTAGTACTGTTAATGTCAGAAATGTAATGTGAGAGTTGGTTTGCAAAGAAAATTCATTTTAAAAAAAAAGAGTTATGTGACCAATATCAAGAAATCAACTACAATAGTATTAAGCAAATTAGCTACATTAGTATCAAGCAAATCAGCTAAAGTAGTACTATTCAAGGCAAATTCAGTATTCCCATCCAATAAGAACCGATTATGTACTACCCTTAACCTTAGAGACTGAATCCACAATTACAGAGTGAACATCAAGGCAAGGCAGGTATTGATTCACAGTTTATATGCACCAAATGTGATGGCTATAGCTCCTCTACTGGTAGAAAGTATTTCAACAGTAATTTTAAAGAGTCAACTATCTAAGCACTAATAAAGTTTTATGGTTATACTATTAAAGATATAGGGAGTTGTTGTGAACAGGGGAATTCAAGAAGAAAATTTTGAAGCCTTAAACTTTCTGATATGAGAACAAGGAAGAAGTGAGAGAGAAAACCACCCCACGGAATGGAATTGGACAACTCTGGGTTAACTGGGTAGCTATGCTCTTTTGTGGAATGCACCTGAGTAACCACAACAACTTCTGTAATCTGTCACTGGAGGAGCATAACAGACTCAGAAAGTCCTACCCAAACTCTCCCCCACCCCCGGTCCCACTGCTCTGCTTTGTGTAAGTCCTGCTTGCTGTTTTCCCAGGGAAACTCCAATTAAATCAAGCCTCCTAAATGTAAAAAGAGCCAGTTTCTACTGGGGCTCTCAAGACTGAAAGGAGTCACTCGCTGAGCTGCCAGCATTAAAGCCAATTTGTTCCTATTTTGTGTGTCAGAGTGTTCTGTCTAGGTATCTCAGCTTTTCTCCTCCTGCAAAAGTGAGGTGAAGTGCCATAATGGAGGTAGAGGGATAGTTATACAATTAGCTAGGGGTAACAGAATCAACAGAATCTACAATTTCGTGTCAATGTTCAAGTCAAGACATGTCCCTGCTCACGCTGGCAGATAAGGAAAGCACGCTGACTCCAGATCCATGCTAGATGTAGGGAGCAGCAGTTAGCAGGATGAAGATGCCAGCGCCATGACTTTGGAATCCAGTGCAATTCAGACTGAGCCTGGCCTCTGGCTATAGGATCTGGATCTGTGTCCTTTGTGTGTGTGTGTGTGTGTGTGTATGTAATCTCTGTCCAGCCTGCTTTCTGACCATTGGTTTCCCATAGCTTCACCCAGTTACTTTGGCAGTGTAACACTGGGACCCCAGGAATACAGCCAAGTGACTACTCTGGATCCCAGATTCATACAATTGACCCTTCCCTGGAACGGTGTCTGACCAAGTACTCTCTCCAGGGATATAACGGGTGGCTATATTAAAGTCACTCACCAGCTGTTGCCTATAGGACACCCTGGGGAACAGAGTCCTATGCTCTTCTTGGAGATCACAGCTTCACTATCGGGCTCATTGTGCTGCAGAATTTCTTTATGGGAGAAACTTTCTCTTTGTCTCAAAAGCCGCAATGAGCCACTTCCAGACACAAGATCTGTGTAGAAAGTACAGCGGTCCCTTCCCTTCTCTGCATTGTGTTCTGTTTCTTCGGTTTCTCTGTATCTTTTAATAATTTTTTTGTCAGGTCCATCCTGGCTCCTGAGGAACTACTTTCTCTTTGTTTCTTCTCCAAGTTATTTTCCAGTCCGGATACCAAATCTTGGAGAGGTTGAGTTGTTGTCACTTACTACTCTGCCATTTCATTTCTCCCTTTATTGTTGTCATAATGTCAGTTGTGCATAAATACAAATTGAGGGAGAAAAAATACTGAAAAATGTATTTTAGTTTCTTCAAATCCTTTTACATGCTGTTGTACAAAAGCAAACCACTAACCTGGGAAGCAAAGACCAGCTAATAGGCTCCAAAATTTTTAATTTATTTATTTATTTATTGGTTCTGGGGATTGAACTCAGGGCCTTCCTCACACCGAGCTACATTCCCATTTTGCAGGGAAGGCTAGATTGCCATTTTTTGAGCAGGGTCTTACTAAATTAACTTGCGGTGCTTCTGCCTCAGCCTCCCAGAGTGCCGTGATGACAGGTGTGCACAATCACCCCTGGCTGGGGTATGCGATCTTGATTAAGAGCTGTGATTCCAACCAAGCCATTTCTCCTGTCCTCTCTAACTGTCGATCCTGTGGTCACCCTGACACCCAACCTAACTGCTCCCTCATCTTTGTTGGTTGCACCACCATTTTCCCAGGGACTCCAGACTCGCTGTCTAATTTCCACCTCCAACTAATTTCTCCTTTCTAATTATCATTTATAACATGCTTTATTATGGATCATGCCCTAATTTTAAACAAAGAGTACCCCTTACCCTCTTAGTTGATACTGTCTGGTTGAAAAGAGCTAACAAGTTTTTTCACTTTTCCTCCTCTGCACACTGCCTAAGGGGTGAAGAGGAGAGTGGAAGTCAAGACTTGTAAAATGGAACCTCTTGTGTTAGTAGCTTGATCCCATAGTGGAAGAAATTCAGACACAGGCCACACACTCTCAGGGATAGTATAATAAGACTTGGTACGACGAATGAGATGTTGACTCAATTTATTCACTCAATATTTACACAGCACCAAACTCTCTATTAAGTGGCCAAGGATTTAAGAATTAGGGCAGGCTCTGTCCTGGAGATGCCCAGTCTAGTGGAAGACAGATAAGTCAATTAGTCACTGCTACCCAATGCACTAAGTGATGTCACTGAGTTTGAACATAGCACTCTGGGACAGGAAGAATAAGGGTTTCGCTCTGCATGAGTGAACTGGGTGCTTACAAACCCTGAGAGATCTGAGAGGTATGCATTTCCAAGGCTCAGGAGTAGGAGTCGAGGGTGCCAGGAAAGGGGTTGGGCTATTCATTGCCGTTCCAAGCTGAGAAATTGTGGAGTCCATAGGCAGACTCTAAAGAGCCAGCTTGTAGAGAGTTGATCTCAAGGAAGTGAAGAATAGAATAGTGGTTACAGAGCCTGGGAAAAGTGTGGGGGAGGGAAGAATGGAGAGAGTATGATTAATGGGTACAGGAAGGCAGTTCAATAGGAGGAATGATTTTTAGTGTTCTATAGCACAGTAGTATAACTATGTTTGACAACAATCGATTGGATACTTCAAAATAGCTAGTAGAGAGGATTTCAAATGTTCCCAACACAAAGAAATTCTAAAGGTCTGAGATGACAGATATGCCAATTACTCTGCTCTGATCATTACACATTATATTCATGTGTTGAAATGTCAGTGTACTCCTAAATCTATACAATTACTATGTATTAATTAAAATAAATATATAAGCCCAGATTGGTGTCATATGCCTGTAGTCCAAGCTACTTGAGAGACTGAGACAGCAAGATTGCTTGAGTCCAGGAGTTCAAGAGTTCGAGGCCAAGCCAGGGATTTAGCTTAGTGGCACCATGCCTGCCTCACAAGCGCAAGGTCCTGAGTTTGATCCCAGGTACCCGGGGGAAAAAAGTTCAAGGCCATGTACATGTAGTGAGATTGTATCCAAAAGTGTGTGTGTGTGGAGAGAGAGAGAGAGAGAGAGAGAGAGAGAGAGAGAGAGAGAACTTGAGGTTTGGGATGGGCAGAGGGTGCCCACCCTCTGGAGGCCAAAGGCGACTGGATGAAAGGGCGGTGAGGGGCCAGGAACAACTAGGACGTACTCCCTTAGGGCAGTAAATGAAAGATCAAGGACAGGAAATAGCATGACCAGATCTGTATTTTAAATAGCCAGATGATCTCCAATGTCCCCCCTCTCCCTTGAGACTATAATAAGTGCCAAATGCATTATACAGGAGGGAATGAGAGGTATGCCAAGGTACAAGCAGTGATTCTACCCTTCCACCCCAAACAGCCCGCCCCCTCTGAAGTCTGCAAAGAAGAGAAGGAAAGTTGTTGGCTCTTCTCAGCTCTTAATATGGGCAGGATGACTGGTTCAAGGAATGTGGAAGATGACACCAACTAAATATGTTTAAGAAATAGTATCAAATATTTATTAAAATGTTTCCGTATGTGTGTGCGTGTTGGTGTGTGCATGTGTTTCCTCACTCTGTAGCCCAGGCTGGCCTAGAACTCACAGTGATCCTCCTGCCTCAGCCTCCGAAATGCTGGGATTATGAGCATGCGCCGTCAAACCTGACCGAAATGTTTCCTACTCATAGTCTGTATATGGGATTTAAGTAGTTACATTTTGCACTCTCCTTGAAGGCATGGGTCTTGTCTGGTTCATCTTTATAATCCTAGCACTTAGCACCTCATCAGGCGCACAAGAGGTGCGCAAGCGTGGGGAGGAAGGGCGGGAAAGGAGTAGAGGGTAATTTACTTTTAAGAGAGGCAGTCCCACCCCCCCTCACTGAGAACCTCTGACCTCCCACCAGCAGGTGGCAAAATAAAGTCCCAGGCTCAGAAAAAGCTGGGCGGGGCATCCGAGGCCCGGCGCGCGCAGTCTCCGATCCTAATTTCTTCGCTCAGCGGAAGAAGGCCGGCCTTTTTCCGTTCTCAGCGCAGACATGGTAAGGCAGGAGATTTGCAAGCTCCTGGGTTGCATCGGCCTCCATCCTTCTGGGGCCGGGATTGCCTGGGCTTCAGGGCTCTTGCCGGAGACAGCTGGACGCAGGCTAAGGCAGTACGGTCTTCAGGGTCGGCCGGGTCGGGCTCCTGGACGAGAGCGATCGCCGAGTGGGGGGGAGTGTATTTGACTCTGCGGGCGGGAATGCCTTGTTCTCTGCGCCTGCCACACATTCTTTCTGATCCCCTGAGAAGCGACTGCCCAATCGGGCTGGAGTTGCGGGCCGCCAGGGGCACAGGCGGCAAGCCCGGGGCAGTTGGACACTGTATCGGCCTGGCACAGAAGGGTCTCCTTGGTCATTCTCTTTGTTAAAATGGCCTGACTGGGCCGGGGATTTAGCTCAGTGGTTGCGCCGCTTGCCTCGCAAGCTCAAGGTCCGGAATTGGATACCCTGGTACCAAAAAAACGGTCTGACTTTAGGTTGCCAGTAAGCATCTGTAGAGAGCATTAAAAAGGCTTTCATTTTTTTAAGTGGGAGTTGGTATTGTGTGCGAAGCATCAGTATACGCTGCTGTGCCAAAGTCCAATTAATCTTGCACCAGATACCTTAAAACCAGAAGATAATATGTAAAAACGTGACTGACTGGCATTAGTGTAGATAACATTCTGGGCCATTTCTGTTTACGTGTAGTTGTATGCTTCGAGTTTGGGTCCCTTGGCCATTTTATCAGCCTAGTGCCATAGTGCCTAATGTTTGTAGTCAGGCACACTATGAAGTAATATGAAGCTACTTACCCCGGTTCTGAAACAGTGATCAGTAAACAGTCTCTACGGTGAGAACATTTGCTAGAAACTAGGTATGTCTTGTCTTTGGTCTTTATCAGAGCCCTGTGCTTTTAACATTGCCCACGTTTTGAAGAGGAAACTATTGCAAGTTGGTGCTTTCAAGGAGTTACTCGCTAGGTTATGTGAATTCTTATCGGAAAAATTTGAAGTCATTTAACAGCATTGCAATCTGAAACTTTTTTAAGGCTCGTGGTCCTAAGAAGCATCTGAAGCGGGTAGCAGCTCCAAAACATTGGATGCTGGATAAGTTGACTGGTGTTTTTGTAAGTATCTTTATATTGTAAGTGCCTTAAGGGATATATTTTATGTCTTTCCTTTGTGTCAGGCTAGGGCAATTGAACCTATTGGCTTTCACTGCTTCTGAAGGCCCTGAGCTATCTACATGCACCCCACCTCACTAAATCTGTGTGCCTAGTTTCTTTCACACTTGTAAGTGCTACACAGTACACTCTCATGTATTCCGTTCTCGGGTATTAAATATTTGTGGGTCTGGTCCTTTGGAGGAGAAAGTGGTACACAGTTTTCTAGAATTCAGTTTTTAATTTTACAGGCTCCTCGTCCATCCACTGGTCCCCACAAGCTGAGAGAATGTCTGCCTCTTATCATTTTCCTAAGGAACAGACTTAAGTATGCCCTGACTGGCGATGAAGTAAAGAAGATTTGCATGCAGCGCTTCATTAAGATTGATGGCAAAGTCCGAACTGATATAACTTACCCAGCTGGTTTTATGGGTAAGTGGTTAGCGGAGAGCCCTGGGGTAGTGCTCTCTTGTTTTCTCTTAGTCTTAAAAATGGCAGTTGTTTCAAGTAGTGGTGAGGCTTTCCATTTCCCGTAATCCCTGTGTCTAGGAATTTTGCGCCCTGTCAGGGTAGCATATAGTCTGAAGAGGATTTGTGTGTGTCCGGAATGTTTTTACTGAAATACTGTGGCACTCCAAATCATCATTTATTACTTCTCAAAACCATTTGTTTTGAATTTTACGAGACTCATAAAAACTGGTTTTATTTTCCGGCACACAGTAGTGGTTGCTCAACATGGGGTAATGAGGGTCACTGTGATGCCTTTGGTCACTCTTATCTATCAGATGTTATCAGCATTGACAAGACTGAAGAGAATTTCCGTCTGATCTATGACACCAAGGGTCGCTTTGCTATTCACCGCATTACACCAGAGGAGGCCAAGGTGAGTGTCTCAGGCAGACTGGTTCTTATTACTTGGTAGAAAAAATAAAATCACTTTAAGAACTTTTTATGAATCTTTTAAAATAAGGGATCAAAAAACCAGCCTGGTTTGATCCAGTTGGCCTTTACCATGTTTCCTTTGTGGGTCTGGCTTTACATTGGTAAAGGAAAGGTATTGAGAAACTGATGATCTTTGGGGCACTAGTTTGAAATAATTCAAAAAAGATTGCAGTCTGATTGTTTAATCCAGTTTGTTGTGATGATTTTTCACAAAAGTTCTTGAATTGGCTGTAAATGCAGGTTAATTGCACTTGTGTGCTACCTTATCAGCAGGCTGGAGGTAATGTCCAATGGTCTCTGTGGTAATTTGATCTACTTTGAGGATATCAAGGGGTAGAAATCCAAAATTGAAATGCTTTGTGAAATACCTGATCAGATAAACTGGTAGTATAATTGTGGTTTGGGGACAAAATTCAGTTGTGATATGGAGGGAGCCTTTGAGGCCTGGAGGGAGATCAGGAGAGTTGGAGGGGAAAATTCCTAGAGCTCAACACTAGATTTGAAGAGCCCAAGGACAGGAGTGGGATTTAGTGGAAGAACCATGTGTGGTGGTGGGTGTTGGTTCTTGTTGGGAAAGACAGGGGAGCCCTTCAGTGCCTCACAGTTTTAACATGGAGGTGATGCAGTGATGGGAGGAAAATAAAATATGAGGAAAACTGAGAACAGGGCAGTCTGCAGTTCATGGAGCTGGGAAGAAAGGTTAGAGCCACAGTGATTCTGCTGCAGTCCAGGAAACCCAGTCTTGTTGCCCCTAGCTGCTGATTGCATTTTTAAGCCAGCAACTTGTGCAATGTAGCTCATATGAATTAGACTAAATGTGGCTAACCCTTTGTTTCTAGTATAAGTTATGCAAAGTAAGAAAGATCTTTGTGGGCACAAAAGGAATCCCACATCTGGTGACCCATGATGCTCGCACCATTCGCTACCCTGATCCCCTCATCAAGGTGAATGACACCATCCAGATCGATTTGGATACTGGCAAGATTACCGATTTTATCAAGTTTGACACTGGTAAGCAGCCTCCTTGCCTTTTTGGCCTCATTAAGGCCATGTATGAGAACTATTTCTCTTTGAGAGGGCTAGGTAGCCTGGACTGGCCCTGAACTAGTAATGTTTCTGCCTCCAGAGTGCTGGACTTTACAGGCATGTGCCACCTCCCCTGGCTCTCTTTAAATCTAAATTTAATTAAACATGAATCACATGGTACCTGGGTATGGGTTGGTTGGTTGGTTTTTTAAGCCATCTGTGCCCCCCACCCCACACACACCCTTTATAGTATCTTTTACTTTCAGAGGTGTGCTATAAAACTCATTCTCAGACCTGTTATAGGTGTCTACAAAGCCTGGCCATGGAAAAATTTGAGGACTGGGCAGGAAAGCCAGCCTAATTTTAATGCAGCCCTTAGTAATGCTGGCATCACTGAAGTCTGTCAGTAAGATGAATAGCAAATTGTGCCTTGGAGGATCAGCAGTCAGGCAAGAGGTGTTAAAGACCTGACCAAAGTTGCCTTCCATGTGGAATTTACATTTCTTATTGTGCATGAAGGACGGGACAAATTTAAGGGGGCTTAGAGTACAGAAGATCAGATAAACTGGTAGTATAATTGTGGTTTGGGGACAAAATTCAGTTGTGATATAGAGGGAGCCTTTGAGGCCTGGAGGGAGATCAGGAGAGTGGGAGGGGAAAATTCCTAGAGCTCAACACTAGTTTGAAGAGCCCAAGGACAGGAGTGGGATTTAGTGGAAGAACCAGGGTGGTCGGTGTTGGTTCTTGTTGAGAAAGACATCTGGGCGTGGTGGCACGTGCCTATAAAATCCCAGCACTCCTGGGAGGCTGAGGCCAGAGGGGGAGGCTCACCTTGAGTTCAAAGCCAGCCTGGACTATAGTAAGACCCTGCCTCAGAACAACAACAATAAAAAAGGTACAAATTCATAGGAATAAATTCAACTGGGAAAGGATGAATAAACTTATTGGTGCATGACTGCTCTCCTTGCTACAGGATGGAATCCAGGGCCTTATGCATACCAGGCAAGCACTAGTGGATTGAATTATACCCACAACCTCTAAGCTTGGTTATTTTAGGTGTTTTTTGTTTTGGACATGGAATCTCACTGTTGTACCCAAGCTGACTTGGAGTTCGCAGTCCTCCTGTTTCAGCCTTCCCAAATACCTGGATTTATTGGTGTGTACCACCACACTCACCTTTGAACTTCTTTTTAGACATTTGTCTGAACTGTTTCTTGTCTGTTACATTGGGTTATTATCGGTTTGCTTGGTGCCTTGTTTGAAAGATAATTTCTTCTGCCTAGGTAACCTGTGTATGGTGACTGGAGGTGCCAACTTGGGAAGGATTGGTGTGATCACCAACAGGGAGAGACATCCTGGCTCTTTTGATGTGGTTCATGTGAAAGATGCCAATGGCAACAGCTTTGCCACCCGGCTCTCTAACATTTTTGTTATTGGCAAAGTAAGTCTGGGTTTCCCTTTTGTGGTTTCTAGGGAAGTATGTTAAGTGCAGAGAGAGCTGGACACAGTCCTGGGCTCTTTCTGTGTCGTAGGACTAGTAGCGGACCTGATCACTTTGATTAGTTTGCACTAGCAATAATGCAGTATATCTTAGGTCCTTAAGTGATTTGTGGCCTTGTTCTCATTGAAAATTAATGATGGGTCTTAGGTACTGCTTAATTCTGACTCCTTAAATAGTGAGTGCTTGCCGTGCACAGTAAACCTGTAAGACCGTGGTGGATGCTATTGTTCACACCCACTGTGAGTGTGAGCCACAAGTTGAGTAGAGTGGCCCCAGCAACCCAAGCAGTGCAAGCATCTCCTGCACCAGCATCTGAGTCTCAGGACTGCCTAGCCACCACTGACCAACACGCTTCGTGCCATGAATGAGATGGCAAACATAGCCTGTGTTGTGCTGCCAGTAGGGTTGGTACATGGCAGGGTTTGATGCTTTTTTTTTTCCTTTCCCTTTAGGGTAACAAACCATGGATTTCTCTTCCCCGAGGAAAGGGAATCCGTCTCACCATTGCCGAAGAGAGAGACAAGAGGCTGGCAGCCAAACAGAGCAGTGGGTGAAATGGTCTCTAGGTGATAGGAGGGAAGTCATCTGTACTCAAATAATACAGTGTGGTGGCATGTTCTTGGTTTTGTGCTGTCTTTTTAATTTACGATCCCCTGCTGATTTTACTTTCCAACATGAAAGAGAATGAATTCTCATGGGCTTAGGCAGTTTCTGATTGGGATCCTGTGATGCAAGAGGACTTGGCTTTTTATAGACATCAGTGTCCTCATTTTTCTCTTGCCTTTACTGCATGAACCCATTTTTGGGCCTAGTTTGTCTATTTTCCCCATCCCCTTGCCCATCTGCCAAATGCAAGGTGAAAACCTCCAGATGCAAGTAAGGGTCATAAATGTATGGGCTCTTGATGTTACAAAGACATTTACTTGGACTTAGTGAACTTTATTCTATAGCCGCCACCAGTCTTCCACTCCCTTAGAGGACTTCACAAAACAGGAACCATTGTGTAGAAAGTGACTGTTTTTGTTCCCCCTAACCCAGTCATGTCAGAGTGGAGGGCATCAGTTACACTGCCTTCTAGTTATAGTGATACAAATTTTTTTTTCTGTACTGTGGATTGAACTCAGGACCTTGCACTTGCAAGGCAGGCACAATGCCACTGAGCTAAATCCCTATGCCTATGCTGCCTTCTGATTCCAGCCTTCTTGATCAGTTTTTGTTCCGGCTACCCTATAAGGTGTGTGTCCTCCTGCTAAAAATGATCCACCCTTGCCTCCTACAGCAGGGCATTTTAATCTCAATATTGAATTGTGAGGCTAGATCATTTATTGTAGGAAGCTGTCCTATGAAATGTAGGATGTATAAACGACATTTCTGGCTGTTTACCTACTACATCTTATAGCTCCTCACAGTTGTGACATTCAAAAATAACTACCATAAATTCCTGACTTCTAAACATTGGAGTCTCAAACTTTCAGGTATGAATGGACCTCAAATTGTGACCATTCATGGATTTGAACAAATTGCAGAAGCAGCTCAACGTGTCTGCCAGCGGACACTGCTGCTATGTGCTTAGTGTATAGTACAGGGCTTAATCAGAGCCCAGCACATCCAAAGGCAAGAGGAAAAGCAGAGGTGATGTGGAGGGGACTGCTAGGAAGTTCAAGGCAATATAACTTTGTATATTTGTGTCAAAGGTGTATACGACTCACTTTATGAATCTGACTTTTGAATGTTCTCCCGGAACAGAACTTGTTCCTAAGTCAAGGACTTTACTACTCTTAAGAAATTGCCACATGTGCCTTGAGAAGTGGAATTACCCTGAGTTAAGAGCCACCGCCCCCTAGTTGTATCTCACTATCCCACCACTGCAGAGTTGGGGGAGAAGTTAGTTGTGTTTGGGGCATCTTCGCCTAAGGCATGTTACATGTGAAGTCGGTTTGCATGTGTAGCTGGGCGTGTTGAATGGTATCCCAGGTGGGGTCTGGTGGCACTGTCAGGTCAGCAGAGGCACTGGGAATATGTGGTCCTGCTGGAGATTCTGAGCAACATCTAAAAGGATTTTCTCCAAATTAGTACACTCACATTGCTGGGTTGGCAGTTATCCCTCTTACTCTATTTAATGCAAGAAACCATCTTCACCCTGTTTGCACATTGTCTACAGCCTTGCAGTGTGGGATACATTCCTATTATAAGGCTATTTGGTAGTGTCAATGGGTATATGCTAAATCTGCTTGGTTCAAGCTGGTAAAACCCTGTGTTTCTTTATTGCATTGCCATTAAAAGCAGCATTAGTGCCAAAAATAAATTAATTAAATAACCAGTTAAAGGGAGAGTGCTCAGGGGGTCTCTGAAGCCCAGATTTAGCCCCACAGAGCTTTTCTGCCTTCCCCATTGCAGACACAGCATGGCTCCCTGGAGCCCCCTTGGGTCTAGACCAGGAGAAAGTGAAATTTGCAGGAACTGGACCCAGGCAAATGGGATGGGCTAAGAGAGCTCCAGAAGTGACCTTGTCAGAAAGGTGTTGGTTAGCACGGTTCTCTTGGCCAAGAGAGTAGAGCTCATCTATGCAGCCAGTTCGGAGGAGGGGCTAGGTCAAAGGTGATCTCGGGTGCCCTTGAGAAGCAGGTTGAGACTGGAAAGGCAGAGGGTAAGGCCTCCAGCCAGGAACCTGGGTGCTGGGTCCCTGAATGCTGATGAGCCCTTATTGCTACCCAGCTCAACACAACCTTGGTGGGACAAGGACTGGGTTCAAAATGCAGCTAGGGTGTGTGTGATCTTTTATAGGACCATTTGATTTGTTGCTGGAAATTAGACCCATAGCCTCAAGCGTGCTAGGTACACTCTTTACCATTGACTATGCCTTCAATCCTTTTTGATACTCAAATCTTGTGTTCTTAATGAAATCAGCAATAGAAGGAGATGTTTCCTCTTCTCCCTTGTCCCACATTGATCAGTCTACCCAATCTTTCTCCTCACATCATGGCAGATTTCCACTTGCATAAAAGTGATTTTTTTGTACCGAACTCAGGACCTCATGCTTACAAGGCAGGTGCAGAGCCACTGAGCTAAATCCCCGGCCCAAGCAAGCAATTTTGAGAGAAAATGTAATGTTTTTAGATTACATAAATGTGATACAGCAAATATAATAGGCCTATAATATATTGGCTCTAAGTGTTTAATTTGTAGACTAAGACTTATGAAAAGATCTGCCAGCTAGACATAGTGGTAAATGCTTATAATCTTAGCAGTTGGGCTGAGGCAGAAAGATAAAAAATTCCCAGTTGGGGGCCGGAGATTTAGCTCTGGTTCCAGCACCTGCTTCACAAGCGCAAGGGCCTGAGTTTGATCCCCAGTACCAAAAAAAAAAAAAAATTCCCAGTTGAGCCTGGGCAACTTAGTGAGAACCTGTCTCAAAAAATAAAAATGGCTGCAGATACAGTTCAGCGTGAAAGCCCTGGGGCCCAACACTTGGTACCAAAAAATAAATAAAAGATATGTCATGGTCAATAGGTTGATAGAGTCCTAGAGAAAGTAGATGCCTGAATAGCATGTCCTCTTACGTGGGTGCTATCCCACGTAATTTGTGTTAAACTCTGGAGCTCTCTTAAAATAAAATTGTTTCAAACCTATTTTTATTACTATTGTATTATGTATACTTAACAGCCAGAACATTTTTTGTAATGTCTGTAACTTTAAACACTTGAACAAAATCTGATATTTAATGATTCAAAAGATACTGGATTCCTCACCTTTTTTTTTTTTTGAGACAAGGTCTCACTATGTAGTTCAGGCTGAGTTTGAGTTTACTGTGTAATACAGGCTGGTCTCAAATTTGTGGCATTCCTGCCTCAGCCTCCCAAGTGCTGGGATTCCTCATGTACCACCATGCCAGGCAAAGACTGCTCACTATCTCATTGTTGACCGAGTATGTTAGAAACAGCAGGGAACAAAAGTCTTGCCTTCCTGGAGCTTACTTTCTCATTTATTGTTCTCTTTGAAACATCTACTGAATAAGAGCTAATAGCTGATGTAGGTATGATCAGCTATCATTTAGTCAGAAAAGCCACACACAGAGCAGCTAATATAATCACTTGGGAAAATATTCCTGTTATACCTAAAGGCTGTGTACTATATAATGGATATTATATAGTAATATATAGCTGGGCATGGTGGTGCACACCTGTAATTTTAACAATCAGGAGGCTGAGGCAGGAGGATCACTGAGTTGGAGGCCAGCCTAAACTATATAGCTAGACCCTGTCTCAATAAATAACTATTGAAAAGAAGTTGGCTCCTGTCTTGAGTGTTATTCAATATATGTGAACTGTCTGAAATGTTTGGGCATTATTCCCCTCCCCAGAAGATGAGATCTGTGAAACTATATCCTCTAAATTTTCAGAATGGGCTCTGAGGGTTGGAGTCAAGTCTCAATATGCTTTTGGAGGATTTTAATTGGTCCAGTGGCCATAAAATTAATTTTGCCTTCAGCGTATTCTTTCATCTGCCCAAAGAGAACCTTTTGTGTGGTTGAAGCATCAGATTTTACTGAGTTTACCAAATAATTATGACTTATTTTTGTGCTGTTTACTGATGTTTACTTCATAGCCGGATGTGGTGGTGCACGCCTGTGATCCCAGCACTGGGGAGGCTGAGGCAGGAGGATTGCTGCAAGTTTGAGGCTGGGCCAGCTTGGACATAGTGAGACCCTGTCTCAAAAAAATGTTTACTGGTGGCCGGGGATTTAGCTCAGTGGTTCCGCATCCTCCCTCACAAGTGCAAGGTCCCGAGTTCAATCCCTGGTACAAAAAAGTTTACATATATATGTATAGATAGATAGATAGATAGATAGATAGGTAGATAGGTAGGTAGGTAGATATAGATATATATCTGAACCTATTTTTGTTAATATTTCAAAATTACTATTTTTGTGATAATCATAGTAATTTCTCCTCTATATAGTTTATGTATTTTTTAGGCTTTTGGGGGGGCGTAATAAGGATTAAATCCAGAAGCTGTGTAGTAAGTTACTTCCCCAGCCCATTTTCTTTTTCTTTCTTTTTGGTATGGGGATTGAACTCATGTTGCAAGGCTGGCATGGTGCCACTGAGCTAAGTCCCTTGCCCTTAGCCCTTCTTTAAATTTTGAGACAGGGTCTCAGTTACCCAGGTTGAGTACAAACTTGGGATCCTCCTGCCTTTGGCTCCCAGAGTGCTGGGATTATTATAGGTGTGACCCAGCTTAATGTGCACTTTTAACATTTTCATCAGTTCTTAACTATAGATCTTCAACAAAACTAACCAAGTCCTGATTTGTAGTGTTGGCCATTTTCCATGGCTGACCTCACGCTATAAGTACAGTATCATAGAAGAACTTGGGAAAAGATGGGCACACAGTTTCTACCAAGCAGACGAGGCATGAGTACTCCGGAGAATACAGATAATATAATTAGGAAGTAATGAGCGTTTTTTTTGTATGCGTGTTTGTACTGAGGACTGAGCCTGGGGCCTCTTGTATGCATGCTGAGCACAAGCTGTACTGTTGAGCTACATCCCCAGCCCCAGAAACTAATGAGTTTTTATTATTTATTACCTTTGCA